ATTCCCTGTTCTCTATTACAGGGGTCCTCAAACTAAGGCCTGAGGGCCAGATACGGCCCTCCAAGGTCATTTACCCGGCCCTCGCTCAGGGGCAACCAAAGTCTGAAACGACTTGAAAACACACAACAACAACAATCCTATCTCACCAGCCAAAAGCAGGCCCACACTTTCCGTTGAAATACTAATAAATTTATATTTGTTAACATTGTTCTTCATTTTAATTGTTGTATTGTTTTAAAGTGTTTTTGCACTACAAAGAAGATATGTGCAGTGTGCGTAGGAATTAATTCATGTTTTTTTCAAATTATAACCCGGCCCTCCAACAGTTTGGGGGACTGTGACCTGGCCCTCTGTTTAAAAAGTTTGAGGACCCCTGTCCTAGATTGTTCAGTATGCAATTAGTCCAACGATAGTCCACAAGCCCTATGAGGAGCGGCTTAAGGAGCTGGGCATGTTTAGCCTGAAGAAGAGAAGGCTGAGAGGAGATATGATAGCCATGTATAAATATGTGAGAGGAAGCCACAGGGAGGAGGGAGCAAGCTTGTTTTCTGCTTCCCTGGAGACTAGGACGCGGAACAATGGCTTCAAACTACAAGAGAGGAGATTCCATCTGAACATGAGGAAGAACTTCCAGACTGTGAGAGCCGTTCAGCAGTGGAACTCTCTGCCCCGGAGTGTGGTGGAGGCTCCTTCTTTGGAGGCTTTTAAACAGAGGCTGGATGGCCATCTGTCAGGAGTGATTTGAATGCAATATTTCTGCTTCTTGGCAGGGGGTTGGACTGGATGGCCCATGAGGTCTCAACTCTTTGATTCTATGATTCTATGACCTTAAGTCCAGTCATGGTTGTCCGTAGACACCTCCAAGGTCATGTGGCCGGCATGACTGTGGTACCTATTGATCTACTCACATTTTCATGTTTTCAAACTGCTAGGTGGGCAGAAGCTGAGGCTGACAGTGTAAGCTCACGCTGCACCCAAATTCGAACCTGCGACCTTTTGGTCAACAAGTTCAGCAGCTCAGCAGTTTAACCCACTGCGCCATCTCTATTAGAAGTTTTAAAGAATATCATCATTTCTGCCAGGGATCTTCTGTACAACAGGAATCATAAAAGCAGATCCAATACCCCTAAAGAAGTGACAATGTAATAGGACCTGCCTGGCCGTTTCCACTTGCTCCAAACTGCGGTGGCATACTCGCTTACAGCAGAGGATACCTGCAAACACACCTTGCCATAACGCTACTAGGATGGACTAAGGATCTAGGAAACAGACTGATCATAAAAGCAGCCCAGGATCAAGTAAGACTTTAAATGACTTACAGATCTATCCTGCCCCTGGGCATCTCAAGGCTTGACCCCACTGCACCGGACTGCAAATGCCCCAGGTCTCTGCTGCTCTTCAGCAATTTTGCCCCCCTGAAATCCAATAACAGAATATGTGTTTCTAATTGAAAGCTAATGAATGTCGCTGATGGATCCAAAACCACCATTTGCTGCCACCTGCAGGTTGCAATACTCCCTCCTGTTCCCCTGAATTGATAAATGGGGTTCCGGTGGGAGGAGAGTCCCATCTTTCTCCTTTAACTCAATGGTCTCATTTGACCAAGGGACTATCCCACGCCCAAATCAAAGGACCATGTCTGATTTAGAATGGGGAGAGAGAGAGACTAGACGGAGGGAGTCTGTCTCTTCTCTCTCCGAATAGAAGGGTTAACCGTAAGCATATTATTCTCCCTTTATAGCCGGTCTTTCCTTCTCTGTAGTCCTTTCATGGTTCTTTGGAGCCCTGCCACTCCAATCTCCAAATCTAGTTGTGGTTTGATTGCCCCAAGCTCTTTGCAAGGAAAGCAGCCCGCGCTCTCTTTCGCCCATCATGGAGGGAGGCAGAGCAACCTCTGACATATCTTTCCATTTTTGGTGAAGCAGGAGACCCCTCCAAACCTCCCTGACTCCAGGTTCCTTTGCCAGCTGACCTGAGGTCAAAGGGGAGGCCAAAGGGGATGACTGACCGCATGCCGTGTGCAGGACCATTGCAGTAAAAACCTCACCTGGACTGAGCAAACTACAACTCCCATGAACCTCAGCCAGAATTGTCATGATACCTCTGTATTCTGCTTTGGTTAGATGTCTTTACTTGGAATACTATCTCTAGTTCTGGGCCCCACACTTTAAGAGGGGATATTGACTCTTAAGTTGTCCACAGGAAGAGAGCAACTAAAAGGGTTAAAGGTCTGGAGACCATGAATCCCTCTGAGAGCTGAGTTTGTTAACCTGCAGAAGAGAAGGTTGAGAGGAGGAGACATGATCACCATTTATAGATATGTGAAAGGGTGTCATAAGGAAGAAGGAGCAGTCCTCATTTCTGCTGCCCCTGGAAACTAGGACTCAATGGAGCCGTGGGTTCAAATGATAGTAAAGGAGATTCTACCTGAACATTATTAGGAAGAACTTCCTGACCATGGGGCTGAGTGCTGCAGGATCCCCAGAGCTGCTGTTTGGCAGGACGTTTAGCCTCCTCTGGGCCTGGACCCTGGCAAAAAGCAAGCGGATGGTGCATTAATTCAGAAACACAAGCTCAATTTCAGTTGGCCAGGTGGGAAAATACTGTGGGATTGTTTTTGTATTTGATTCTTTGGCTTTGCCTTCTGTTTTAGGTCCTGTGTTTTTTCATTTTAAAATTTTATTTTCAACTTGTTGCTGGATTTAGGATACATTTTTAAAATCTAATGAATTAAAAAAACAGGAGCTTTTGGCAAAATCAGATAGCTATATTCAGGAAGCAAGAGTTTAACACACCATCCTTGTGGAGAGAAAAATCAGAGTATTATTATTATTATTAATAATAATAATAATAATAATAATAATAATAATCTGAGACTTCCGGATTCAGACAGACAGAGTTTTGGAGCACAATACTCCTGACTTCACGATTGTGTTAAAAAATAAAGTATGGATCAGTCAATGTTGCAATCCCAGGTGACAGCAGGATTGAAGAGAAACAACTGGAAAAGCTGACATGATATGAGGATTTAAAGATCGAACTGCAAAGACTCTGGCACAAGCCAGTAAAGGTGGTCCCAGTGGTGATCGGCACACTGGGTGCAGTGCCTAAAGACCTTGGCCTGCACTTAAACACAATCGTGCTGAGAAAATTACCATCTATCAGCTGCAGAAGGCCACCCTACTGGGATCTGCACACATTATTCACCAATACATCACACAGTCCTAGACACTTGGGAAGGGTCTGACATGTGATCCAGTACAAGAGCCAGCAGAATGATCTTGTTTGCTGTGGACTCATCTTGTTGTGTTTCAAATAATAATAATAATAATAATAATAATAATAATAGGATTCAAATTGGGATGCACCCTTAGTCCTTGCATGGCTGTGGTTTAAGGTATCCTAGGATTTGCACTTTGGCAAGGACTGTGGGTGCATCAACATTGTGGAAAGAATGTGGTTTGACAATAATAATCGGTTCCAGCCCAGCTTACTTGTCTGAGCATATCTCCCTCTATAACCCACCTCAGAGATTAAGAACATTGGGGATGGCCCTGCTCTCATCCCACTACCTTTGCAAGCGTGGCTTGCTGGCACGAGACACATGGCCTTCTTGGTGTCGGTCCCACGGCTGTGTATCTCCCTCCCTAATGAAATCAGATTTGCCCCCTCCCTCCTATCCTTTAGGAAACAACTTAAAACATGGTTGTGGGACCAAGCATTCAAGCAGCAGACACAGCAATAATAATGAGAATGATTTACCTTACTGACAATGGACAGACCTGGATTATGACTTGAACTTGTGTAATTTCAATTGGCTGTTTTTATATTTGATATTTTAACTATTTGTTTAAATGTAAACTGTTATTATAATGTTTTTTGTTTAGACATCTTATGGTTGCCAGTTGTGAGGCTGCAACTGAAGACTCTGCAGTCACATGCTGCAGAAAGCAGTTCAAATGTTTTCAAGGGCTTTCACCCCATTTGTCAGTAACCCAAAACATTCTGCCTTTGGATGGAGGCTTTTGACCAGTTGCTGCTTCTTAGTTCAGAGATTTGCTATACTTCTGTTTTCATGATTCCAATATTTTCAAATGGCTTTTAATTGAGTTTTCAGCGGGGAAGGTGGCTTCATGACTTTCAAATGGCATGGGTTTTCTAGCTATGCTTTGCTTTTGCTGGTGCTGGGAGCTACCTTAGAGGAATAAAGCCTCTTATCTAAAAGCAAAAGAATGCAAGCATGAAATAATGCATATGGCTTGCTGTGGTGATGACGACAACAACGATATTATTTATATTATTATTATTATTGACTTCATTTCTATCCTGCCTTTCTCCCTATAGCGATTTAACTCAGCTAACAATAGCACGACACAACCCAATAAAAATTCAAAACAAGGCCCATACAAAGAATATTGAAAAACAAATATTTGTGTTATAGACACAAAACTTAAAATACAGTTAAAATGCAATTACGTTTAAAAACTAAACATCCCCACAAAATCCCACCCACAATATCCTCCTACATTATATGCTAAAAAAGATCAAAGCAATGTGTAAATCAAAACCTAAAGCACATAAACATTAAAATAGAATTAAATATAGGAACATTAAATATACCAACGAAACCATTAAATACCAATTAAACTACATAACTTAAAGCCTTCCTGAAAATAAAGTTTTTTACTAGGAGTGATGGGGAAGGAGCCGGAAGTGAAAACAGATCATTAAACATAGACATGACCAAACTTGGGCCCTCCAGGTGTTTTGGACTTCAACTCCCACAATTCCTAACAGACCGGTAGGCTGTTAGGAATTGTGGGAGTTGAAGTCCAAAACACTTGGAGGGCCAAGTTTGCCATGCCTGGGATAAAATCATTTTGAGTGGAGCTTGGCACTTGGATTCATGCTCAGCTGTGGAAGTCCACTGGGTATCTTCCTGGCTTTGATGTGCCGCTCTCATCCTCATCATGGTTATTGTTATTGTTGTGTCTCCACAGTGACCCGCCACAACCACCTGAAGGACTTCATGCTGGTGGTGTCCATCGTGATCGGGGTGGGCGGCTGCTGGTTTGCCTACATCCAGAACCGCTACTCCAAGGAGCACATGAAGAAGATGATGAAGGACCTGGAGGGCCTCCACCGGGCTGAACAGAGCCTCCACGACCTCCAGGAAAGGTCAGCTGTGTGGACAACAAAGGGGAGGCTCTATGGGTGCAGGAGGGGAAGGGAATGGGGGGAGGTCTATGTTTGGCCCCTTTGAGCATTATGCTGTTGTTTTACTGAGGCCTTGGCCTGTGTAAGCCGCATCGAGTCCTTCGGGAGATGTTAGCGGGGTACAAATAAAGATAATAATAATAATAATAATAATAATAATAATAATAATAATAATGATGATGATGATGACTTTTTCAGCGCCATTCTGCAATCTGGTCCATCTTTCATACAGAATGTCCTGGGTGATAACCATGTGGATCACAGTGGCCATGTTCTGTTGTTATTGTTTATTTGTTCAGTCACTTCTGACTCTTCGTTGACTTCCTGGACAGCCAAGCCTGAGCCGCATGTCAGCTGGTACACCACCCCAGCTCCTTCAAGGTCAGTCCAGTCACTTCAAGGATGCCATCCATCCATCTTTTCCTTGGTCGGCCCCTCTTCCTTTTGCCTTCCACTTTCCCCAGCATCATTCCCTTCTCTAGGCTTTGCTGTCTCCTCATGATGTGGCCAAAGGACTTCCACTTTGTCTCTAGTCTCCTTCCCTCCAATGAGCAGTCGGGCTTTCTTTCCTGGAGGATGGACTGGTTGGATCTTCTCGCAGTCAAGGCACTCTCAGAACTTTCCTCCAACACCACAGCTCAAAAGCATCTCTCTTCCTTCGCTCAGCCTTCCCGAAGGTCCAGCTCTCACATCCGTAGGTGACTACAGGGAAGACCATGGCTTTGACTATGTGGATCTTTGTTGCCAGTCTGATGTCTCTACTCTTCACTATTTTATCGAGATTGGACATTGCTCTCCTCCCAAGAAGGAAGCGTCTTCTGATTTCCTGGCCACAATCTGCATCTGCAGTCATCTTTGCACCTAGAAATACAAACCCTGTCACGGCCTCCACATTTTCTCCCTCTATTTTCCAGTTGTCAATCATTCTTGTTGCCATAATCTTGGTTTTTTTGACGTTTAGCTGCAACCCGGCTTTTGCGCTTTCTTCTTTCACCTTGATTAGAAGGCTCCTCAGCTCCTCGCTTTCGGCCATCAGAGAGGTGTCATCTGCATATCTGAGGTTGTTAATGTTTCTTCCAGCAATTTTCACCCCAGCTTTGCATTCATCAAGCCCCGCACATCGCATGATGTGTTCTGCATACAAGTTAAAAGGTTGGGTGAGAGTGTGCAGCCTTGCCGTACGCCTTTCCCAATCTTGAACCAGTCTGTTGTTCCATGGTCAGTTTTTCCTACTTGGTCCTTGTACAGATTCCTCAGGAGAGAGACAAGGTGGCTTGGGATGCCCATCCCACTAAGAACTTGCCACATTTATTATGATCCACACAGTCAAAGGCTTTAGAATAGTCAATGAAGCAAAAATAGATGTTTTTCTGAAACTCCCTGCCTTTCTCCATTATCCAGCAGGATATTGGCAATGTGGTCTCTGGTTCTTCTGCCTTTTCTGAACCCAGCTTGTCCATCTGGCCACTCTCTCTCCATGTCTTGCTGGAGTCTTCCTTGAAGGATCTTGAGCATTCCTTTCCTGGCATGAGAAATAAGTGCCACTGTATGAAAGTTTCTTATTATGGAAATGCCTTTATGATTGGATACCTAATGTTGTTTTAATGTATTTTATTGTATGATTTTATTTTGCTTGTATAACTGTAATTATTGCGACATCGAATTGTTGCCATTGATAGCTGCTCTGAGTCCCGTTGCGGGGGTGAGAAGAACAGGGTAGACATGCTCTAAATAAACAATAATAAATAAACTGGGTTGTTGTAGGTTTTTTCGGGCTGTATGGCCATGGTCTAGAGGCATTCTCTCCTGACGTTTCGCCTGCATCTATGGCAAGCATCCTCAGGGGTATTGCCAAAGTGCAGGCGAAACATCAGGAGAGAATGCCTCTAGACCATGGCCATACAGCCCGAAAAAACCTACAACAACCCAGTGTTTCCGGCTATGAAAGCCTTCGACAATACATTCTTTAGCATTTCCCTTTTTTGGTATGGGGATAGAAGTTGATTTTTTCCAGCAAAAAAAAATCAACTTATATCCTTATGGGCATGTTCTAGGAGCCCATTAATTCTCCCAAGACCCTATGGAAGCAGCAGAGACCTCTAAAAATCCCAAGAGGGAGGTGTTTGTTGGAAAGAGAAATACTGTTCTGGGAGGTTTCCAGAAAAGATGGTTTGCTCCCCAAAAAGGCTGGTCAGAGGGGGAGCCATGGCTGAGTAGGTCTTCTCTGAGGAGTTGAATGGGTGAAAGCTCTGAGCCAGAGGCGCTTTTTTCCCATCCCCATCCAGAGCCCCTTTTGTCCCCATAAGCTCTTGAGGCACAGAATTGGTGGCGCCTTGAAGCGCAGAGATCACAAGGTTATCTCTGAAATTTGTCACATGAGAGCCAAGGAGGGGAGAACATTCTTCCTTCCCAGCAGAAGAGCCTTTCTTGGGGATGCATCCACATTGGGTGGATGCATCCCCTCTCCTCTTGCAGAGAAGCTGGCAGCAGTCAGGACCAAGAGTTGGGACCCTCCTGGGATTGTGGCTGTGTATTTTAAAAGCATCCACTGAGAGTGTAACGGCCGCTTTAGCCACATGCCGGCCTTTGCTGCTCCCGGCCTCATGTGTTTCCCACGAGAGATGTGTTTAGTTGATTGTGAGCAAGCAAGCACACATTGTTCACATTCTGGGCTGCGTTCTGTGCAGCTTTTGCTTGATGCTTAGTCAGAGGACTGAAGGCAGCATCAGGCCCCCAAATTCCGAGCGGGAACTGGCTGCAATTCCAGCCCTGGCCTAGGATTCATTTGGAACCAAACACTGGCTCTTCTTCCTTGGAGTTTGCTTTCCCTGCTTGGGATCCTGGCATCTTGCGCAGGACTCTTCCCTTCCCTCCTTCCAGATGCATCTTCCATTTAATCCTTCCTGTTGGACCACCTGAAAGTGCTCCAGAACCCGGTCGCATTGGTGCATCCCCACCAAGCCATGCTCTCACTCCGTCTCCCTTTCCCTCTCACTCTGCAGGCTTCAGAAGGCGCAGGAGGAGCACCGCACGGTGGAGGTGGAGAAGGTCTCCCTGGAGAAGCGGCTCCAGGACGAGATCAGCATGGCCAAGCAGGAGGCCCACCGACTGCGAGAGCTACGCGAGGGCACCGAGAACGAGCTCAGCCGCCAGAAGTACGCCGAGCAGGAGCTGGAGCAGGTACCCATCCCATCAGGACCAGGACCTGTTGCTCTTTGGCCTTGGCTGCCCTGCTCTGCTCTCCCTCCACCAGCCTGGAGGTCTGGACCTGACCTGCTACCATCTTGAAATCCATCAACACCACCTTTCTGTAGGAACGAGTCATCTCTGTAGCAGGGTGGGTTGCAGCGTAGCCAGTTTATGTATGAGCTTATGGGTACGAAGAGGTGAGAAAACACATATGAGGCTTCTGCTTCCTGAAGACTAGGACGCGGAACAATGGCTTCAAACTACAAGAGAGGAGATTCCATCTGAACATGAGGAAGAACTTCCTGACTGTCAGAGCCGTTCAGCAGTGGAACTCTCTGCCCCGGAGTGTGGTGGAGGCTCCTTCTTTGGAAGCTTTTAAACAGAGGCTGGATGGCCATCTGTCAGGGGTGATTTGAATGCAATATTCCTGCTTCTTGGCAGGGGGTTGGACTGGATGGCCCATGAGGTCTCTTCCAACTCTTTGATTCTATGATTCTATGGTCAGGTTAAAAAGAGGTTGCATAATTGAATCATAGTTGGAAGGGACCATATGGGCCATCTAGACCTGTGGGTCCCCAGGTGTTTTGGCCTACAACTCCCAGAAATCCCAGCCAGTTTACCAGCTGTTAAGATTTCTGAGAGTTGAAATCCAAACATAATGAAACCCTCCCAACAGATGGCCTTCCAGTCTGTTTAAAAGCTTCCAAGGAAGGAGTTTTCACCACACTCTGAAAGGAGAATTGAATATGTGTATGTTTTGCATGTTTTGCATGTTTTGATATGGTCAAAATTGACTAATCAATAAAGAATTGTTGTCGTTGTTGAGTCAAAATGGGAAGGGCTTATAACCAAGTAAAAGGGAAAGAAAAATACTGTATAAGGAACTGAATCAAACAAACAAAATAATACATAGAGTAGAGGTACAACACTTCCCGGGAGGAGGTAGGAAGAGGGAAGGGGAAATTGGATATGTAGAAGCACATTTTGATGTAAAGGAATCATCAAAATATTATGAGAATATATGGGAATAATTTCTTTTGCGAAGGTGACTGTGACAATGGGTTTTGAGTTTTCCGGGCTGTATGGCCGTGTTCCAGAAGCAGTCTCTTTGAAGTCCAAAACATCTGGAGGGCCAAAGTTGGCCCATGCCTGTGTTAAACCAGATCTTGGTGATTAGATTGAGGCTGGAAGTGAGAGGCAGGCATTTGAGAGGCATCTGGATCCACTTGTGGTGGCCTTGTAGGCCTGGATTCAGCTCCTGTTCCCTTGACCAGTAGTCCCTCTTGCCCTGGCTGGAGGCTGCGCTCTGTCCCTTCCCTGCAGGATTGTGGTCTCTTCCAATTCTATTTCTCTGGTTCCATAGGTCCGGATGGCACTGAAGAACGCAGAGAAGGAGCTGGAGTCGCACAGCAGCTGGGCCGCCCCAGAAGCCCTCCAGAAGTGGCTGCAGCTGACCCACGAGGTGGAGGTCCAGTACTACAACGTCAAGAAGCAGAACGCCGAGAAACAGCTGCTCCTGGCCAAGGAGGGGGTGAGTCTGGAGCAGTTGGACTGCAGCTCCCATCATCCCTAGCACACCCTGTAGAGTCAGTGGGGAGGCATGCTGGGAGTCCCAGTCCAGGTATGTCTGGAGAGCTGTCAGGGGTTCTATGGGGTCATAAAACTCCTGTCCTTCAAAAGTGACTCTATAAGGAACCAGGTATCCAAAAACACAGTTGTTGTGGTCTTGCACTCAAAGAACAAAACACACAGAGGCAGGAAGGCTTTTCTTTCTCCTTTGTTGCATCAACATACTAAGTATATACAAAAAAAATACACACTTTACAGCTGCTTCTCACTACTCACAGCACAATTCTCCAAAACATCACCCATCCCTCAGAGACACTCATGAAACTTACTCAGTATAACTGCCACCTATATACTACTCCCATTGCATTAGCCACCACGCCCTAATTACAGTGGCTTAGCTCTTTGACAGGTGGTTAGGCCAGAGGTATGAACTCTGCTCTCACTTAGAGAATGCCAAGTAATTTCCAAACCCTGACAAGAGCTGCATGATTCCCATTCCTGGTCTTCCTAACAGCATTGTTGTCTTCCTCCTTGGATCCTTATATTTATGTATGGCGCTTACATATTGCTTCTTCACCTACCGGGACCCCCCACAGCAATGCACTAGGGCTGGAAGCATTTATACCTTCCCCTCATTCAGCTGGAGCAGCCATGTTGTGCATTTCAATATTTGCCCTTCCTGGTGGGAACACTCCCCACTCTGCAGTCTTTGACACAAGAGACTTTGTGCTCCAGAGATTCTGTGGAAGGACTCTGCTTCTTTCCTGTGTCCATATATTTCCTGGCATAACTTTACTCGTCCTTAACTACATAGTAAAGGTGCTGTGGACCCCCCCCCCCCCCAATGTATTGTAAAGATGTAGGTGGGACCACCAGTAAGAGTATAATAATTGGCACCTGGCCCTACTGATCCACACTGGCACTTTCTTGTGAGTTGGCCATCCCCGGTTTTTGTCTGGATGGGTCATGAGAGCACCTAATGCTCATTAATCCCAATGCGCAGTGTTCCCTTGCCTGGCTTGCATACATAGTCATGTCACAGCAGCCCCTTACTGAGTAGAAGCGTTACAAAACCCCTTTCTGATTCCCTGGACATAATGCCTACTTCTATGGGCACTTAAGGTGTTTCTGGTTGCTCATCTGGCAGGAAGTCCATTAAATGCAAAATAAACTCATTCTGAGTAGACGTGTCTGGGACTTAAAGAAATAAACCTTTTTGTGGAACCAACAGTAGACGCACCCACCTCCCATGGCCCAACATGGATGGATGGAAGAGAGAGAGGGAGGGAGGGGCTTCCAGTGTTTCAAATTGCTTTCTGTGTTTCCCAGGCTGAGAAAATAAAGAAGAAGCGCAACACCCTCTTTGGCACGTTCCACGTGGCGCACAGTTCCTCCCTGGACGACGTGGATCACAAAATCTTGACTGCCAAGTGAGTTTGCTCTCCAGGCACCTTTTCCTTCCAATTCATCCTGTGGGGGAATCTGAGCGGTTAGGCTCAAAAATAACCCTCAGTTGGGGTGATTCCACCATAAATATAGCAGAGTACCAGAAGCAAACTTCATAACCAGCAGAAAATTATGTGTGGTGAAGCTGGGATAAGCTTCTATTCTTAAGATGGCACAGGATGCAGAGTCAGAGCTTTAGGTTCAAAAATATTTATTGACGTAAAAGAAGTACAGTGGGTTGCTGTAGGTTTTTAGGGTTTTTTTTTTGGACTATATGGCCATGGTCTAGAGCAGTGGTTCTCAACCTGGGGTCCCCAGATGTTTTTGGCCTACAACTCCCAGAAATCCCAGCTAGTTTACCAGCTGTTAGGATTTCTGGGAGTTGTAGGCCAAAAACATCTGGGGACCCCAGGTTGAGAACCACTGGTCTAGAGGCATTCTCTCCTGACGTTTCGCCTGCATCTATGGCAAGCATCCTCAGAGGTAGTGAGGTCTGTTGGAACTCGGAAAATCTAGTGCAGACATGGGCAAACTTCAGCCCTCCAGGTATTTTGGACTCTCAAACACCTGGAGGGCCAAAGTTGACCCATGCCTGATCCAGTGCACCTGCCAACCAGTACAGGACATTTGTCCCTAACTCATCCCTGGAGGTGGCCCACCAGCCCTCCTTAAGACACTCCGGTGATGCAACTCTCACTCCGTCTCACTCACAAAACTCTTGGTTTTTTGCTCTTTAAAGCAGATTTTCTTGTCTTGACTTCGGGCATAGAGTCCTTTCTCCATTGGCTGTTTCTCCTTAATCCAGTTTTTAAAGCGTGGGGTTGTTTCATCCCTGAACTCCACAAGTCTCTTGTGTCATCAAGTCTCCAGACCTCAATGAGTACCTAGACTAGAGATAGGATTCGAGTGAGGGATTCCTCCCCTCCCCCCCCCCACATTCCTATGCATGTTCCCAGAAAGGGCTTTGTCTTTACTCTTCCTCCTTGCCACTATCTGAAGATGGAACAATGGAATCTCTGTGAGGGAGTGTCCTTTTTGAAGGTATTTTTATTGCCCTGGGCTTGGCCATGTGGCCATTTGCCATTTTCAAGCCGTCTTCTGCCTTTTCTTTCTTTCAGTGGAGACGCATTTTGCCTCTCTCTCTAGGCAAAATGTAGCTGCATGGATTGACTTTTTACCTTTCTTAGAAGATGAGTTACTGAGATCCTAAACTTTTCTATCAAGAATGTCTTTCTTTTACTCCAATACATATTTTTGAACCCAGAGTTCTGACTGCAATCCTGTGCCATCCTGTGAAGGAAAAGCTTATCCTAACTCACCACACATAAGTTTCTGCTGCTTATGAAGTTTGTTTCTGGCACTCTGCTATATTTATTTACCCTGTTTATACCCTTCCGTTCTCTACCATGAAGGGGACTCAAGATTTATGGTGGAATTGCCCCAACTGAGGGTTATTTTTGAGCCTAACCGCTCAGATTCCCCAACAAAAAGGATGGACTGGGTTGTGGCATAGCTGGTTGGGAGTCAGCTGCATTACAATCCCCACTGAACAAAAGGTCATGAGTTCAAATCCAGCCCGGGTCGGAGTAAGCTCCCGACCATTTGTCTAGCTTGCTGTCGACCTTTGCAGCCCGAAAGACAGTTGCATCTGTCAAGTAGGAAATTTAGGTACCTGCTTTTGCAGGGAGGCTAATTTAACTAATTTATGACGCCATCAAAATCTCCAGCAGCATGCAAAAGAATGAGGAAGTACTCCATCGGTATTACGACTGGATGGTGAAGCAGCAGCTCCCCCAGTGGCCGGAATTCGAGCATACCCTCATGAAGCTGGAATGTTAAATAGCCTCTGAGTGTTGGTCTATATATGTTGTGTGTCTGTGGCATTGAATGTTTGCCATGTATATGTGCATTGTGATCTCCAGGGCAAGAAGGGCGGAATTGAAATACTGTAAATAATGATGATGGTGATGATGATGATGATGATGATGATGATGATGATGATGGAGGTTCTGCCTGGGTCGGAACATGGGACCCTTTGTTTGCAGCTCCATCTACCCCTCCCTGGGCCCCACCATCCGCTGCCCACGTCCATCTCTGGCTTTTCCTCCCTCCTCTGCAGGCAAGCCCTGAGCGAGGTGACGGCGGCCCTGAGGGAACGGCTGCACCGCTGGCAGCAGATCGAGATGCTCTGCGGCTTCCAGATCGTCAACAACCCGGGGATCCATGCGCTGGTGGCCGCCCTGAACATTGACCCGGCCTGGGTGGGCTCCGCCTCCGCCACGCGAGCCAATGCCTCCCACTTCATCATGACCGACGACATGGATGACCTCGACGAGGAAATCGTCTCCCCCATCTCCATGCAATGTAGGCGCATCCCATGTGTTTGAGGGCGGGGGCAGGTGGGAAGTATCCCCAATCCATTGGGGGGGGGGGGCAGAAATGAGAGGCAGGGTGGGCCATCAGGGTTAGGGAGACAAAAGGAAAGAGCCTACTTGGAGGGCGACTCAGCACCTTGATTTACGTACCATACATACTCGGGTATAAGCTGACCGAAAATACAAGCTCAGGCACCTAATTTCACCACAAAAAACTGGGAAAACGTATTGAGTAGAAGCCGAGGGTGGGAAATGAAGCGGCTACTGGGAAATTTCAAGGTAAGAATAGATACTAATACAATTACATTTATTCAGGCATCAGTAGGTTCAATGTTTTTGAATATTTACACAAAACTGTCATTTAAGATAACTCTGATTAAACCATTGTTTTAACTTTCCTCAGTGTAACTCTGCTTACGCATCTTTCCAATAATAATAGAGTAGAATAATAAATGTAATAATAGTAATAGAGTAAAATAATGAAACATAATAATAACAGTAATAACAGAGTAAATAAATGTAATATAAATAGAGTAAAATAATAAATGTAACAATAATAATGCAAGTAATAAAGTAAAATAACAAATGTAATAAAAATAATAGAGTAAAATAATGCAAATGTAATAAATAATAATAGAGTAAATTAATAAATGTAATAAAAATAATAGAGTAAAATAATGCAAATGCAATAAAAATAATACAGTAAATTAATAAATATAATAAAAATAATAGAGTAAAATAATAAATATAGTAATAGAGTAAAATAATGTAAATGTAATAGTAACAACAATAATAAAGTAAAATAATAAATGCAATAATAATAATGCAAATAATAAACAGAGTAAAATAATAAATGTAATAATAATAATGCAAATAATAAACAGAGTAAAATAATAAATGTACGGTAATATTAATTAAGAGAGCAAAATAATAAATGTAATAAAAATAATAATAGAATAAAATAATATAAATGTATAATAATAATAGTGAATAGAGTAAAATAATACATGTAATAATAATAATAATAATACAAAGTAAAATAATAAATAACTTTGACTTGAGGGAGGCTTTTTCAGCCTTAAAAAGGGCTGAAATCTCAGCTTATACTCTAGTATATGCGGCAGATCTCATAAACAAGGTGAAGACAAAGCACCAGGCCTATGCCCCACAGGATTCCCCCTCTGCGTCCAATTGCTCAATAGCCACAAATGTTGGTGCTTCTTTACTTCTGACTCTTGCAGTTTGCTCCCGGGAGCTGTAGTCCACATACCCCAGGATAGGGCCCATTGCCCTTCCTCCAGAGATGACTCTGAGGTCGTACTCGGGTTGGGGAACAGGGTGGGAACGGCATTCTCTGGGACGGATGCTGGGTGCCATCCTAGGGCTCAGTTGCAACAAAGTGAGTGGAGAGGGATGTCTCCCTGGCCACTGACCCTCTTTTTCCCCTCCCCTCCGGGGGTCTCCCGCCAGACGCCGCCTTGCTCTTGGGCCAGTCCCGGTTCTGCTCCGAAGACCCCTCCGCGCCCTGGAAATACCCCGGTTTGAGGACGATTCTTTGGACTCTCCCTTTCTTCCTCTCACCCACCCACTGGACTAAAACACAACCGGCCTCTCCCCACGGCCACCCTCCCACCGCTGCTACTGCTGCCCTTTTGAGCACCAGAAGCTAATATTCACCTCACTCCTTATCTTCTCCCCCATCCCTGCTCTGCTCTGGCAAAATTGAGTTGGTGTCTGTACTAATAATGCCCTTTGGGTGCAACGTTGTTGGGGAGGGAGCTGCTGAGATGGATGAAGAACCTCCTCCACAAGTTGGCTCTCGTTTGGGTGGCCTCTGCTGCCCCTCGCAGGAGGGAGGTGGAATTGGCCTCTTCAGGGCCAGTGGTCTCCGTCCTCCTGGCTTGTTGGAGGGAAGGTGGGGTGACCTTTGAAAGACTGGGGAGGGGGCCCACAAGGTGGTTAGAATCATCGAGTTGGAAGAGACTCCAGGCACCACCCAGTCCTCTT